AAAAAAACTTAATAAATATTATAAAGATAATTTTATTTGTGGATTTGAAAAACAAGTAGTAACATTAACACCATGTAATATTGTTTTTGTCGATATTTATGATAATATTTTTTAAATTATAATTTATAATTATAAAAAATATATATAACTTTTTAAAAAGTGGGCTGGCCCGGCAAGCCTGCAGTCCACGTACTCGTGGTTTGGGCCGACCATTTTCTGGCCCACACCAAAAATGGGCTAGCCTGGCCTGACCCGTAAAATGTCAAAGCCTGTATGGGTTAGCCCGGATGGGGTGGGCTAGCCCATATTGACAGCTCTAGAAAGTAGGCAAATTTTTTTGCGAAAAGTAAAATTTATTTGTCTGTTATTTAAGAATATTTTTTTATTTTTATCTATTCATTTTCACATATTAAAAAATATGATTTTTTTAATCCATATTTTGCTTCCAGCATTAATTACTTATTATTTTTCAAATTATTTTTTAAGATCTAATACTATTAAAGATCAATCAATAAAAATAATGTGGTAAATAGTTATATCAATTATTATTTTTTAAATTGGTGTGCCAAATTCAAATATGACAAGTAAAAATGAATAAATAAATAAATAAAGTAATACATGTTATTAGCTCTTATATTAAAAATATTTTCTTTAATTTCACTTGCTTATTGTGATAAATTAAGAAAATTAATTATTTTCAAGTAATTATTTGAAATACTAATAGTTAATTCAAAATTTTGAAATATAATTAATAGTTTCAACATGTCAGCTTTTGATCATTAAATGAAAAGATTGTGGGTATTATAGTTTTTAAAATATTTTTTAATATCAACTTGCTTGAAAAAAATTGTTATTTCTATTTTGTCATGTGGACTGTATCAACAATTTTTTTTATAAAAAAAAACCCACTCTTTTCAATTAAATTATACATTATGCCTTACCCAGTATTAAAATGCATTAAATTTGTAGGGCCATTGAACTTTCTAATTCGACAAATGTACAAGATGCTCAACTCTTTCTTCTTTTTGTTTTTGTTCTAATGTTAATAATAATTATTATGTCTTCCATATAATTTCTCATTTGAATCACATGAAAAGTAAATAATTTCATCATTATACCTTTCATTTGAAAACTTAGATTATTATCACTGTTAAATTTAGTATTCCTTAAATTTAATATAATTAGGTCATTTAAAAAAATGATAATTTATATTAATTAAAATCAAATTAATATTATATATTTTTAATTTTGTTCTTATACCAAATTTTATTTTTATTTTACCAAATTAAGAGAAATTTATTGTTTTTTCTTAATATTGACTTTATGATTAAGTAACTATATTAAATACTAATAGTCAAATTCAACTTTCAATGCATAATTAATAATTAATATATGATAAATAAATTTCTAATAAATATTTTCTTATGAGTTATGTCAAGTCAATATGGACCAAGTAAAACAAAATTCAAAGAGATATTTATTAAGTCGGGTTCATAACTATATGTTTCAATGTACAAGATTTTGATAAAATAAAATCTTTAAAGTTAAATGATATTTTTTTGAAATTTAAATTTAAATTATTAAAACATATATAATGATTTTATATAAAAAAAAAATATCATATTAAATTAAATGAAAAGGATAATAAATTCAACTTTTACTATGATAAGGTTGAAAAATATCTTACTCTTGCTATATTCCTTAAATAATTAGGAGTTTAGACTTTAGTTAGGATATTAACCGTTCTTCATTTTTATTTGACAAATAAATAAATATACATATTTATCTTG